GGCCCAGAGGCCTCCGAGCACGGTATCACGATCGTTGGAAGCGTAAATGAAAGTATTGCGCCATGCGGAACGATCAGCAGACGACATGTTTGGCTATCTTGGTCTGTCAATGATGTCGTTCTAACTGGGGATGGGGGAGAAAAGAAGACATGCATTTACGGAAAAAAGAAGAAGAGAATGGAATGCTTTGTATTGACACGGAAGTCGAGGATCTGGTGGATCGGATGCAAGAAGGCAACAGAGAAAAGCAAACATACGAGTAAGTTACCGGTAGAGAAGCGTTGGGCGGCAACAGGGGATCAAGGCTTATATAAGCACCAAACCCTCAACCCTAGCCTGATCTAGCTTACAGGTATTCCCGCTATACCGGAATGTACGGCACACAGACTGATTGCTTCGGCGATTGGGGACTTTGCGATTTCGCATCCAGAGTCAAATTCTAGAGATTTGGTTGGTCCAGAGCCACATTTGCCTCACATCCAGAGTCTTTTGGCAAAGCCTCCGTTAGCACAACTTAAGTTACGTACAGTACGCCTAGCCGGTTGATATGAAATAAACGTGCTCAAGGCCAAGATAGATGTCTGGTTTCGTGGTGTAGTTGTATTCTACACCACGAAACTGCCCAAAAAATTGATCAAACACCCAACCTAAACCTAAATAGGGCGGTGATGAGTCAATCATTCATTGAACACCACCTTTGCGGTCGAAAAACAACCAACTTCTCACCACTAACCCCAGCTCAGAGACATTTCGTCAGGGCTGAGCTGCATAAGCAAGAACTCCTCCAACCTCTCAAGTTATCATGCTTTACTCGCACATTGCTCCAGGCGCCCATTTTCCCTTCCGGAACTGGAACCGCTCCAGCCTACCACACAAGTGGTCCCCAGTTCAAGCCCGGGCGAAACCAATTTATTTCCCCCTCTTGGGGCTAGTTATCACTTTTGCTCTCAATTAGATTCAATTTCTTTTCAGACATTTTTCCCATTACACCCCTTGTTTTAGCCAGGTTGGAATGTATCACAAGCCCAAACCCCCGACGGCTGCCCCTAAGGAAGGTCTAGAAGTGGGTCGCATGATATAGAAGGTAGGGTAAACAGATGGAGATATGGACGGGGAAGTGGGAAATGGAAAAGATAGAGGGAGTTAAGGGGGTGTTTGGCGTACCATGATTTGATTTCAAAATCAGATCTTGAGGATTTTAACTCAAATTATAACTTGTAAAAACAGGGTAGGATTAAGTATAACAGTTGTAATAATGTGTGTTAAATTGCCAAGACCTGATTTTGAAATCCACATCATGGTATGCCAAACACCCCCTAAGCACTTATCCTTCTAGGAGGTGAGCTTAGGGTTATTAGTACTGGTAGGTACGATGTACCACTGGGGGAGGGGCATGGGTTCAACTTGCGGGCGGAAGGGCACCAGCTGCCACACGCCCGCATGGTCGGCATGGAACAGAGTAGCCATGTGACGCAGAATTGACTAGCTTCCAGGTGGGACTACGCGAGTACATAACGGACCCTCGTATGATGGGCTATTTCACACGAGTGATTACTCATGACGGCTGGTACAACGGTCTCATGCTATCAGAGTAGCACTTTGAGAAGCAGGTAAAGTCTAATGTGAAAAGGCAAAGTATATCATATGGGTGTATAGTCCTTGGTGCCCTTCCACACTCTAGTATAAGGCATCCTATCATATGAATCCTTTAAATTCACCATTGAAGATTTCAACAGAATTCGCTCTCTAAACCATTTAAACAAGAGTAGGCTTAGCAGAGTAGGTTGAGAAGTAACGAATACCAGTTAATGAGATCCAGCAAGCTCGGGTTCCATGCTAGACTCTGTCGAGATAACACTATTCCTTCTTGGGGTTTTTGGTCTCTAATTGGGGGGATCTAAGGCCGCAATGGGCAATGGTGGATTTAAAGGACTAATATAATATGCCCATTTATTGGCCTGGCGATCACTACGCATTTTCAGTGTCCAACTTCGACTCGGCCACGAGAGTATATTCACTATCCAAAACTAAATTCTTCTAGATCTTGTGTAATGTATTGGACCGGGAAGCGGATCAGATATGGAAGTGAATCACTTTGTATGTGAATTTTACTTAATTCCAAGGCCGAAATTTCAACAAAACCGAACCTCTGGATCCAGCCCAAAACAGGCAATCCCAACACTATATGCTACCCAGGATACCTCCTACTCTGTCATTTCGCTTTCCCAGTGGTGGGCTTCTATTGAGACTTTTCAGATTTCTACTTTTTTTGGTGCATTTTGACCGATCCACTTCCCCGTCCAATCCGCTTCCCTATCTAATACGTAGGGTAGGGTGTCATAAAATTCTTCCACCATGACGAGCACTCGAGTACTTAGCAGCCACGTGTCTATCCACTGACTCACGTCTCCACTTGTGTTCTCTGTTTCCCTCTCTCCCCCGCTCATCATTTTCTCTCTCATCATTTTCTCTCCATCCTCCTTGTTCTCCCACATCCATCCTCCTAACAGCAACTTTTCATCAAATCTCCCTAACTTTTGCCGCGGTGCCAGACATTTTAATCTCCCTGCCCCGGTGGTTGAGCTTCAGGTACTCTATAAGCACGCGCAAATATCCCCTTCTACCATATCACACTGTCAGCAAAAGTACGGTAAGTCCTCATACCAACAGACATTTTGTTAGGTCAATTTTAGGGAATTTTTGATACTTACAAAGCAATATCATCTTGCAGATGTTGGCAGGACTCGTATATTGCGAGGTTCGAGGAAGTAGTAATGCCAAGGGAGACCGTGAAACGGTTGCTGAATGCTTGACAAAGGCAATCCCGACAATATCACCGGTTCAAGTCGGGTCGCCCAGCAGGCCTGAAATAGTTTATTCCAACGATTCCGGCCGCGGGATCCTAAATAGGCTACAGGAGATGGAGGAAAATATCACAAGTCTGCAGGAAAAGATCACAATAATGGGACCTCTTCAGGTGACCGCCATGGGGATCAGAAAGCGATTTTTCGCAACATCACGAAGGAGGGCACAGATGGAGGGAGTCGGCAGCGGGAAATCTATTCGAGAGGAAAACGATATTGCACACGGTAGCGACGCGGTTACCGATATCTGCCTCTTGAGAAATGGCTTGATAGAGTATCACCAAACCTTCACCTATTTGTACGGCTTGGACTGGAGAGCAGCAACGGAGCTGATTGGTAAGCTGATGAATTTTTTCTACATGCCCTAGTGTGTAATAATTTCGAACAGTATTATGGAGGGATAACTCTTGGGTTTTGTAGGTTCCACGAGCAGAGGTATGCTGGTAACAGGGGGTCTGGGCAGCATGCCTAGCTTGTGGAACCTGCAAAATTTAGGGGCTGTACCTCCGTATCCTATAGGCCATCCTCATATTGTTTCCGCAATGAACCGCCGTGCATGATAACCCCAGTTGAACTGGGCAAGACGACTTTGATTACCTAATTATATGGACGCGGACGGCCTCCTCCAATGATCTTGCTGCATTTGGTGCTGATGGGTTAGTGCGACAGTCGCCAAACGCAAGTTTCTCCGCCTAATAATAGGGAGGTTCTGCTATTTTTCTTAAGTTATACTTTAGTTTTTATTTTCGCGGGTGGAATGCTGAGTGAAAATACCCAATTTCTAAAGTACGGTTTTGCAGCAGGAGTTCCCTAATAAATATTACTTATCATAAGTAACAGGTCTTTGACCCTGAGTGGCTGCACCCATCCAACTCCCATTGTATCAACTCACTAGTCTGGTGTAAACAAAGTGCTTTAAGAAATTTTCTTTATTAAGAACATTTCTTAACTCTACTTTTGCTACTTGTCACTATGCTACACCCTCTTCTTACTAGTGGGGTCATAATCCCTGCCGTTGCCGTGGAGATAGTGAAAGTGTCTTAATTAAGAAAAATAGCAGAACCTCCCTAATGCCGGGCGGATCATAAGTGTTCTTGTTCTTGATATGGCGGCCCGTAGGCTTCCATGTCGCAGTAAGTGAATGAAAGGGCTTGCTTTTGCTTTTCTGTTTTCTGATGAGCTTATGAGATACTCTGGGTTTCCGAGATGCTGTTTTGCTGTTGTTTCACCCTACTAAGAATAGTGTTGTTTCTCTTGTGTCCGCAGACTTGACGATTATGCTTTGGGATTCTGAGGACAGTATTGTTTCTGTTGCGCCTGCAGACTTGGCGATTATGGGTTGGACGGCGATGGGGGTACTCGTACGTTTTTGTTGTTCGGTACCATCAGGTGTTGAGAAAGCCGAACAGGGATAGTCTTTTCCAATCCCCCTTTAGAGGATTGGACAATCGCAGAGTTGAAGGTGTTTTTTTATGGTCTCTGAAGTATTTGCTCGAAAGCCGTTACGGGAGCGGAATAGCTTTCTTGGTGCTTGTTGGGTGAGTTCAGTGAAGGAGGGCTGATTGTGGGGTAAGCCTTGGCTAGCAACTACTGTACTAGCCTCACACTATACTCAATATTTATCTAGTGCTTCCCCAGCCCCGGTTCGACTTTCACCAGTTTCTACGGAAGCGCCCGTCAAGTGCTTGAGGTAACCTCACCCTTCCAAAACTGCTAAACAATGGCAGCACTCAGAAGAAGAAAAAAAGAATACAAGTAAGATCCTCGAGTGACTACCCATGAGCGTACCCTCCCGAGGTTGCCTCCACCACCAACCCTGAACGCTTATCCTAAACCCCACCAATCTCCCCTCCACCATGCAGGGGCGCTCTACCGACTCCGGAAGAAAGCTGCCGGTAACGTACCCGGCTTATCGGTAGCCAACAATAAAGCGCCAAGTCTTTAGTGCCAACTTCACTACAATCTCGGTACGGCAAACATTAGGAAAGGGCGCAACTTCAACGGCAACAGGGGCGTGATAGAAGGAGCGGTGGGAAGTTCGAAAAGAATGGTGTAAAAGGCCATCGCCCGTGTGGATTGATTACGAAGTATGTGGAGGAGGGGATCGGAGAGAATTTGTTACAGGGGGTTAATTTTTTACTTTTTCTTGGATTGTGTTTGATTGATCACAGGACTGAAGCGTAGCGAGGATTCGGTTATCTCTCCCAGAAATATCCTCAAAATATCGAAAATAAGCAGAGCTCCCACGACCTGGAAATTGTAGAGCTCCGAAATGAAACTCACTAAATTCGTGCATTTCTTGCCGGCACTCGCTGGGTCATCGATACCGTTCACTTTGCCGTAGTATCCGTCAAAATCCTCAATGACAGCTTGTAAGATGTGGGCTCCAATGGCCGTTCCCATGATTTTATATGTTCCAGCGACAAAGCCAGCATGTAGTATCATGAAGGTATCCGACAGAGCCGATTGATCGCCAACAATGGATATTAGGAGGTTGGAGAGTGCGGATGCGACATCGCCCCGGTGATTAGCAGCATAGAGTCCTTCCATTTCTGAAAGAATTGGGGCGAGACCGGCCCACGAAAGAGGACTGAGGAGACCGTGACACTTCCGTCGGAGGCGAGCGAGCTCCTCGGGCCCGGTGGCCCGGGCTTCTCAAAACGATGGTGGAACGTATTTTGGTGTACTGGGAGTTGCGGAAACGTCTTTCCTCGGAGAAGAATTATCCCCTGCTTCCTGATCATCCTCTATATCCGAGCCAATTCCTATGAATTCATCTCCGTCCTCATCACCTTCATCCTCGCCCTCTATATCACTCATATCCTCATCCATGCCTTCTACATCTTCACCCCCGTCACTTAATTCCTCATCTTCTCCCTCGCTGCCGTCTGGCTCTTCCTCCCGTTGATACGCACTCTCGCATAACCCCAGTTTTAGCCCCCTCGTCCTCTCGTTCGACTTGGGCTGTACTGCCCCATCCCGATCGACACCATCCAATCCTTCAAACAAAAATTCCAGTCCATCCTCTTGAAAAGCTTTTGGCAATTTCCCCTTAATCTTTAATTTCTTTTCCAAATACTCAATCTCCATATCATCTTGCTCAAGCTTCTCCCCTACGGCCCTCCGAAGCACAGGTTTTGGCTCCCACCCAGCTTCCTCTTCTTCACCTTTGCCTTCACTGGCTTCGGTTTCTTGAGGGTGGACTTGAGTGTTGGTTCTGGGTGTTTATCATTCCATTCGTTTTTCTCTTTATCTCCTGATCCCTTTCGTTTCCCCCGGACAATCGGCGCTGGAAATGGATGAGAGGGCGATGGTAAAGCTGTAGGGCCTGAAGCACTGTTCACTTGGCGCTGCTGATGCTGAGACTTCTTGACCATTCGTTCCTGCCGCCGGCGTTCTTTCCTGTCCAGAGGTTTCCCATTCCGTGAGTTCCTGGCCCTCCTGCAACCGGTGGATGTGCTAAATTTGGTGCTGGATTTAAGATTGTTGCCGCCCTAATTTAAATTCTTGCTAGCGCCTATCTTGGCAGTAGAGAATACTTGAGAATACTTACCTAGACCTAGTTCCTCGAGGACCGACTTCGGTAGTCGTGTTGTGCTTGTTTTCGGCGGTATTGTTGAGTTTTTTTTTTTTTTTCAGGTAGTGGGGTCGACGGAGTTTTAGGGTTGTGCAAGATTGCTAAATCGGGCGAGTGAGGTGTTTCGGGGGTTGTGGTCAATGATCGCGTTGGTCTGCCGCTGGCATCAATCACCGTATCGGAGCTACAGTAACAGATAACTCCTGAGCTCAAAGATCGCTGGATTATGGAAGCTCGAAACCCTTTACAAATTACAACACTGCACCATTTTTTGCTTTCTCTCAAGGGCATAATTAGGATCAGAGTTTTTTTTGATAGTGGCATATTTTGACTTTCGTAAGATTAAATCTTTAGAACTACAAGTGCGATATTTACCGGTATCTAAGTTATCCAATGAGTCCGCTAGCAAGCATTTCCAAATCCTCCAGGTTTTCTAAAGCCTCAGTAGCTTCAATAACTCGCCCCCTAGTCTTCTTAGCTTTCTTTCAGTCTTTTCCTTCTCTTCGTCATTCTCAACCCATTTCTGTCTCTTAGGTTGCCTCTCCTCTTCGACATCCTCATCGTAGCCGAGTTGATCGCCCTCTGCGTCCCCATAAGACACCAACTCGACTCGAAATTCGTCCTCGTGACTTCTTTCTTCTATCACTGCTCCCTCTTCTACGGCACGGAGTTCCTGAATCATCCTCTTTTCCTTCCACTTCTCTTTTGCCAATTTTCTATCCCCGATGTCCGCCTCCCTGACCCTCTTCCCTTCTTCATCCAAGAACTTCCTTCTCTGGATCTCTGCCGGCCCTGCTTCACGGAACTTATCCTCATCCTGGAGCTCGTATATCTGACGTGCTTCCCCCGCCATCTTCGAAAATAAGTCTTGTGCCCTTGGGCTTAAGCTTCACCAACTCCTTTTTGGACTTGAGCATCTTTTCCTTGCGTTTGGAATCCATTACTATCTCCTTTCCTGGTACTTGGAGCATTTTCGATCGCATTTTTGCAGGATCAGGAATGTCGGGATCGGAAACGTCAGAATCATAGCCCGAACGTTTGACGGTCAAGAAATCGCCTTCGTGGTCGGGTTCAGCTCCACCACCTTGAACCAAGCTCGCAAAATTGCCTATGAGGACATTGATGTTTTCTAATGATGTTAGAGCTTACGGTGCGCAAAAGGGTAGAGGAATAATTACCTCGTTCGACCATTCGGTCATATTTAGCTCGCACTTCCTCCCCGCTCCTGGCTTCTCCTTCCCCTCCTTCATCGCTAGAGGCACCCTCCAGAGCCTGTAGGCCTCTAGGCGCATTTTTGATTTCCTTGATTTTAGCTCCATCTATACTCTTTAGGCCCCTGATCCTTGGAGTGCCAAAGAGCTCGATATTAGTCGCATACTCGTCTAATGGCAACTCCTCAAGCTTGAATACCTCTCTATTCTTCTGAAAACTGATGCCCCGGCAGCAACCTACAAAGGCCTTTTGTCCCAAAAATTTGAATTCAGGATCTTTGAATAGCAGCCCTTGAAGTTGGTTCCGAATGCTCTGTTTTTTAGAGTTTTTCTGACCAACTTCACCTATCGGAACTTTCCTGGTGGCTACTCGGTCTGAAAACCTCTCTTCGCTCGGACACAGGAACAGTGCCTTTCCAGTCTTTTCAAATCTAGCAGTTCGACCAACACGATGGATATAGGTATCAGCATCCTCCGGTGCATCTAACTGAATAACCCAATCCACCGATGGAAAGTCCTAGCCCCTCATAACTACGTCGGCCGAGAATAAGCAACTTTGCTTCGCAGCAGAAAATTCTACTATTATGTCTATCCTAGCGCTTTGTTTTTGTTTTCCGTGGAGATGCAGGTTTCGTGGTGTAGTTGGTTCTACACCACGAAGCCGCCAAACAGTGTACGAGTACAGTAAGGAGCGAATCAGGACTTTTCACAAAGTAGCTGTACGAGTATCGCACCTGTACAGCGCTACCAGTATTAATCTGCTTGTCAGATCTGGTTCCGCTTGATTATCAAGGGTGACTATAGGGCAAATTTAGTACAACCTTTCCTTATATAGCGAGTATAATATGATATGATAACCAGCACCCTACCCTATGGTGGGAGGGGCTGCTCCAATGCCCCCTCCCCAACCACCGCGCCCCCACCAGCAACGGATGGCCCGTTGGGTGGTATCACCTAAGCTATCTACATATCTTCCTTAGTGTGCGACATAAGAAGTATGATGCCAGGCGTCTATAACGTGTACCACTGGCATTGCACAAATGTAATGCCTTATGCAATCAGGGTTAGGGTGAATTTTCAGAAGGCTATAGTTTTTCTTTGTAAATTTATATTCAGACAGATATGATACTGAGTATAACATACCTTTGTTACTTATTTGACACATCCAGTTAGGGGCTATATTCAGTCTCTCATCTTACCAGATGATAAACCAAAGGGTTTAAGATTGGTCCTCACAGAGCATGGTCTATGGCCACATAGTAGGCCTTAATTTCTTACTCAATGTTCTATCCTATCTTCTTCTGGCAAGTCAAAAAAAGTAAATCCTAAATGTCTAGATGGTGGAAACTGCTGTGCTTGAGCTTTACTTACTGCCCAATCTGATTTTAAAAGTCAGAAAAGCCAGGTAGAACAAGCAATCCTAAATGTGAGGCATGAGGCCATATTTTCTCCTGCCTTTCATGATGAAATTAATTTTATCAAGTATCAGGTTATCTGGAAATATTAGGTTAAGATAGTGCAAATAAGGGAGTCTTACAGGTCTGAGGTCATATATGCTTCAGCTGAATATGAAACCATTGTCAAAAAAAGGTACAACTCTCTCACCATCAGGTTAGTACAGTACAAGAAGCCTAGATTTGTATTTTATAAGTGTATATGTTTAAAATTTACAGTAATTTTACATTTGATATGTATGATTATAATTTATAGCTCATTATTATGATATTATGATGGTGTTAGAGAAGTCAGGTAGAGTTGCAGAAATTACCTAACCCTGATTACATAAGGCATTACATTTGTGCAATGCCAGTGGTATACGTTATAGATGCCTGGCATCATAGCTTATGAAAACCCTCCACGTCTGCTTTACATGAAACTCAACCGAAGAAATTCTAAATCTTCTTATCATGAGCTAGCGTGGTTCAAACCTTGGACAGGACTCTCGAAGTAATCCTGATTCCTGCATTCTTGGTCAATGCATTGTCTCTCCCACCTGTTATACTTAGACAGCGCAATCGGTGTGGCACGTGACTAAATGCATAAGATCACGTGTTCAACTGCGGGCCCTGCCGTAGTTATCGTGACGATATCATATTATCGTACGAAACGATAAGGCATCTATGCAGCCTGCTCAGCGGAGATACGAGGCATGTGACCAAGGGGTTTTTGCTGGATAACATAGAAGGAGCTCCGCTCTACAAGATAAGACTTACTTGAACCAGATTGGTTGGTTAGTTAATGAGCTACGACCTCTGGAAGTCTTGGTGTGCTATTTCGAGAAGTAGTTGCACCATCCTCTGCTCGCGTAAACTAGGGTCATCCGGAGACTAGTTTACGATTGGTTAAAAACAACTCACTAGTTGAGTTAGTTATCTTTGTCATGCACTCTAAGCTATGTACATAGAAGAGTCATTGATAAGTCCATTGACGGAGCTGATCACTCCACAAGAGGAAGAGTGTGGGGAAGTTAGTTTCAGGGTCAAACGGGGTTCGCACTCCAAGAACACTGAATC